ATTATAACTAAAGAAAAACGTTGTACCCCCGTTTCTCTTTTTTCAACGGGGGAGGGATGTTATAGCCCAAAACGGCTATAATAGATAAAATTATAAAATTATACCGTACCGTCGAACTTAATAAAAATAACCACGAGACGGACAATTGTAATCGTTTTAATAATAACGAACATCCCAGCTGATCTCGCGACGGCAGCCGCGATATCAGGCACGCGAAGCAACTCTATACCGCGATAAGCCGAGTTGAAGTGCGAGAAAGAAAAGAAGATTTAAAGCTAATGTATCTGAATAAACGACTTTTATTCTAACACGATTACATATTTAATGAAAACGGTGAGAAGATCCTGTGCGACCCTGAGCTCCTAAGTTCCAATTGGCCAACGATCCCAACAAAATCTCTGTACTTCCACGGAGGCACAACACGTTAGTCATCTCAGATACCATACTAAATTATTATGGGGGCGAAGAGAGCGAACCGATAGGAATGTTAAGAAATATAAACGTGGAATATGGTAAAATTAAAACAACGGGAAAATTATACGTAATGGGGAAAACCGCAAAACCCCTTCTCGGACGCGATTGGCTATATAAATTAAGGTTATGGCCACTGGGGATAGAGCAATCGAAACAAAAAATAACGGAAATAAAACAAATGAAACAAAAGACGAGCGAGGAGGGGAAAATACAAAGAATAGTACAGCAACTCTTTAGTAAGTACTGTTTTCGCCGGGACCAGGAAGTTACACAAAATCAAAATTTACAATCAAAATGAAAGACGGGGTGGTACCAACGTATCAAAAGCCGCGAACACTGCCTTTAGCGTTGAAAGATAAAGTAGACGAGGAAATCGACAGATTAGTCCGAGAGGGAGTTCTCTCACCGGTGGAAACTAGCGAGTGGGGGACGCCAATCGTACCGATCGTAAAAAGTGACGGCAGTCTAAGAATATGCGGGGATTACAAAGTAACCGTAAATCCGAAACTGTTAATCGACGGACACCCACTGCCACGGATCGAGCACCTCATTGCAAATTTACAAGAGGGAGTTCTCTTTTCGAAAATATACCTTAAAGAGGCATACGCATAGGTACTGGTAAGCGAGGAGTCAAAACAAATACTAACGATAAGTACACACAAAGGTTCGTTCCAACCGAATAAGTTACCGTACGGCATAGCATCGGCGCCGGGATTTTTTCAAAGACAAATGGAACAGATCTTTGCAGGATATAAACGTGCCGGATATAAATGCCGGATATAAACGTATTTCTCGATGATATAATCATTAAAGGCAGAACCCCTGAAAAAAACATAGAGAGAACGAGTCAAGTCCTTGATAAATTGAGCGAGTGTAGATTGAAATTAAAAAAGAAAAAATGTGAACTATTAGTCCGTAAAATTCGATATTTGGGGGTAGAAATAGATGAACACGGGGTATACGCACTACGCGAGCGAGTAGACGCAATAGATAAAGCACTAACGACGAAAAAAGAATTATAGGCTTTTTTGGGAATGCTGAATTACTACGCAAAATTTATCAAGGACTGGACCACAAAACTATACCCATTGTACGATAATTTAAAAAAAGATAAATTTCACTGGACGGACGCATGCCAAAAAGCCTTTGAGACAGCCAAACAAGATTTAAAATCGACGAAGGTACTCATAAATTACAACCCGAATGAAAAAATAAGTTTAACGTGTGATGCATCGGACTATGGCGTCTCGACAATACTCGCACATGTAACTCCGGAAGGTAAACGGCCGATAGCATACGCATCGAAAACATTATCGACGAGTGAGCACGTGAACTACGCACCGATCGATAAAGAAGCCCGCGCGATTGTGTTCGGCGTTACGAAATTTTACGACTATTTGTATGGACAAAAATTCTTGTTAAAAACGGATCACCAACCGCTGATGAGAATCTTCGGCCCAAAAAAAGGTATACCAGTTATGGCAGCACGTCGATTACAAAGATACGCAAGTTTTTTGAGCGCATTCGAATATGACATCGTATATGTACGCTCGAAGAACAACAGCGCGGATGGACTTTCGAGACTTCTGACACCGGCAACAAAAAGAGGTACATCCGGAAAAAGAATTTACGTATTTGAATTTTGTAAAACATGCATCATTTGCCTGTTTCAACGATAGAGTCGTCGCGAGACAAACAAGAAAAGACCCAATATTATCCCAAGTTACGAGATACATACAAGAGGGCTGGCCAAAGCGTAAAACAATCCCAGAAAGATTACGACCGTTTAAAGCGCGAAAAGATGAATTGACCATAGAACAAGACTGTATTATGTGGGGTTACCAAGTAGTCATTTCAGGAAAATTAAAAGAGCTAGTAATCAAAGAACTGCATGCAACACATTCAGGCGTAGTGAAAATGAAAGCGGTCGCGCGATCTTTTTTCTGGTGGCCAAGAATGGATAACGATATCGAAAACATAGCGCGAACATGTCACTATTGCGTAGAGCTCCGAGACGATCCACCGAAAGTAGAGCTAAACCCATGGAAATGGTCTGAAAAACCATGGCACAGGGTGCACACCGATTTTGTTGGATCATACAAAAATCATAATTTTTTATTGTTAATTGATGCAAGAACGAAATGGCCTGGGGTATTCCTAATGAAATCGACAACGACAGAAGCCACAATAAAAGTCTTCAGAAACCTATTTTCACGCTTTGGACTCCCTTTCCAGATTGTCAGCGACAACGGACCGCAATATACGAGTGCGGAATTTAGCGAATTTATAAAAAACTTAAGAGTAAAACATACCTTTACGGCAGTAAAACACCCGATGACAAACGGCGCCGCCGAAAATTTTGTCAAAACGTTTAAAAGGAAACTAAAGATTCTTCTGAAAATGGGGGAATCAGTTCAAGTAGCAATAGATAAAGTATTATTTGACTAACGATCAATGAAACATTGTACAACAGGCGAGTCACTTGCAAAATTAATGCTAGGCCGCGAACTGAGAACCAGATTTGATTTATTACGACAAAATGTGGGAGAAAAAGTAGAAATCGAACAAAATAATCAAACACGAAATACGGGGGGGGGGGAGAGAGAAGTAGAATTCAAGGAAGAAGAGGAGGTATGGGCAAAGGATTTCAGCAAGAATGCACCGCGATGGGTAAAAGCCGAGATTATAAAAAAATTAGGACCGGTGACGTACGAGATTAAATTAAGTTCGGGGCTAATAGTAAAGCGACACGTAGACCAAATAGTAAAGGGACCCAAACCAAGTGGGAGGATGAACCGAAACCAAAAACAAGCGACAAAGTACCCTTGCGACGATCAGCGAGATTTGAGGGAAAAAAGTGAAATTAAGTTAGAATTAAGGGGGAAGGAGTGTGGTGTATGTACGAGAAAGAGCGGGAGGAGAGAGTGCGGAGAGTGGGGAGAGCCGGAGCGCGTTCCGGTAGAGACACTGTAATATACAATGATCAGTCGAATAAACATCTTTATGTAAGTCGTACGTTGCTCAATGCCTTCCCGTTCCTGCTACGAAGAGATACATAACACGAGCGACGATGCGTATTCCGCTACTACCGTCGGAAATCTTCGAGTATGTCCTTCTAATTACTGCCTTATCCGCGTTTCAGAAATCTTGAAGAACTTCTTGCTAGAAGCTCTCGCGAGGTAGGAAATCTTGCACGCGGACGCCGGAGATCTTTAGCGCGAAGTAGAGGACATTCGTGATACGATTAACTATCGTCGACTTTCGAACTCGCCACTTTCATACGTTCACAATATCTTAACGATAAAGAATTAAAGAATAATATTTAAGACACTAAAGGATTGACCGCCGCGAGAATGTGAAAAGTGATCGGATGCGAATCACTTCGTAATAAACTTGAGACAACTACGGCAAAAACGATACGAGTGAGAATAACGACAAGAGAAAATGATAACGATCGATGAATTTTGACCGGCTCGAATTGTTGTCATAGGCAGACTAAATCGATCGACTGCGGAAGCTCGCGCTCTGCCGATGATAATAACAAAGGTTTTTCGACGTCGATCGTTCGAGAACTTGCTGTTTGTCACAGTTTTTCAGTTCGAAGGGCAGCGCACGAGCACACACCGATCAGCTGAACGCGAAGTTATTTACTCGCTCGTGTTTTGATTTATCAACGGTTACCGTTTAAATATCTTAAACGAAAAGCGAAAACCATTCGAATCTCGAACATATTATATTTTCTTTTGATATTGAGAAACTAGTTTACCAAAAGTGAACAAAATTACAAGAAGATTAACGGTGTTCTATTTTAGTAGAAGATAAGGAAACAAATCTCTCTCTTCTCTCTCTCTCTCTCTTGATTTGCAATGTATTAAAATCATAATTATCGAAACAAACTTCTTAATTAAGTTCTTTTTGAATCGTTTAATATTGCAGTGCCAAATAAAGATGATTCATTGATATTTGAGTATGTAATATAACAGTCAAATAAATAAATAAAAATTATTATATTTTTTCAGAAAAATATTTGCAATGTCTTTTCCGCGTGAAGCATTGCACAATTGCATTATTACACTAAATTGTTCACATATATTCTGTCAGAAACATGGCAATATCATTTTTTATTAAAGAACCCCGCACTAATCATATGGAAAATCTGTCCCGGTCAAATCAATTGGTTTTTACATATGTTGTATATTAATTATAGCACCTGCAATGTTATAAAACTTGCCCAAGTGATGAAGATGAGGTATTATAATTGTATGATCAAAAAACTTGAACATAGACTCGATATGTCCATTTTTAGTTTCAATTATCCACCTTGTTTCTGTCACCAATCGAGACTCATTAGCTTCTTCAGTGAATAATTGTTTCTGTTGAGGTCCAAGAAATGCTGGCATTTTATACTCAATGCCTAATTCACGAAGTAATGGCTGAGCATCTCGATATCCACGATCTAATATAAAAATGTCACCATCATGAAACCATCCTCTCATATTGTCCGCATCACGTTGAAATTCAAAAACCAATTGATTTGACCGGGACAGATTTTCCATATGATTAGTGCGGGGTTCTTTAAATACAATTATGGATATTTAAAATATTTTATGTATAACATTTTAATTGGCGCTATGCGTTATTGCTGTATTGGTTCTTTATTAAATTAATTTTTCTTTATTAAATTGTATATCATGTTCTGTAACATGACAGGATATTCCGTGTTAGCGTAATCCGGAATCTGCCTCTTATCGCAAATCATTTCTTCGTCGGACGGAATTAAATCCTGAATTAGATCCGAGAACTTGTCGAAAGGACAGAGTATTTCACAACCTGGGATCTCAAGCTCGTCGATGATCGACGGAATACCCCGATAATGTAAAAACTATATAAAAGAAGATTTATAAAATTATAAAATAATAATTAGCAAAACAAAGCATAATCATAATAGCATAAATCATTAAATTCGTAACACGTATCTTCACACATTAATGGATCATTGACAATTGACAATTGGTCATTGACATAGTCATCTCATTTTGGTTGCTTCAACAGTATTTTCATAAAAAAACTGATTAGAAATTTCACAGAAAAGGACTGATAGATTAAAAATAATAAAAAATAAGAGAAATAATATTAATTCTAATATTGATGGAAGCTCACATTGTAAGAATAGATTAAAAATTAGAATAATAAAAAATAAGAGAAATTATGTTAATTTTAATATTGATGGAACCTTACATCGTAAGAATAGATTAAAAACTAGAATAATAAAAAATAAGAAAAATAATGTTAATTCTAATAATAATGGAGGCTCATATCGTAAGAGGTACGATACATTTATCATCGATTCCAAGATATTCTGTATATCTCGAAGAATTATAGATTGAACTATCATCGGCGTGTAATTAATCAGAGACAAAAAATATTATATGTTTGATAACACACTTACCTTCACGTAGTGCTGCTTGTCTTGCTGTAATAATTCCAAAATAACCGCGCTAGAGTATTCAGGTACATGAGGCTTGTATAAGTTAAATGCGTGCAGCATCGACGCGACGTTAGTCTCGTGACCACTATATAAATAAATCTTTGTATCCGGTGGATTCGAATTTTTTTCTTTTATCATATTGCTCAATATCGCGCGAATCATTGGACCTGAAACAGAAGAATGGCTCTCTTACAAATATATGTCGCGCAAAAAAATCGATAAAACATATATGTACCATCATGAAGATAAAAAATTTTCTGGATATATCTTACCAACGAAGAGTCTTCTTATTAAAGGAGTAAAATTGTAAATTTTATATGCGAATACAATACCATCGAACAGTGGACCATGAGGGAAGTAATCATGCGCCCATTTGGGAAGGGTTAGATTCATGGACGACTCCGATACGAAAGTATTATATAAATAATACAAATCCGAAGGCGTTTCGATATTCTTACCGGTTAACTTCGTCAACTTACTCATCACGTCTTTAAATTGGGACATCTCCTTTTTTATTTCGGGCATATTCAGTATACGATTGTACTCGTCGACGAATCTGAAACAGAGATTTTAGATATAAATCTCTTCCCCTTTTGCATAAATCTTTGAGTTTAAAAAAATATTTATCTCTTCGCATTTATAATATCCATAGTTGTTTTTTTTTTTAGAATATATTTTCTTTATTAATCTTTTACTATATTGTATTCCATCTATATTTATTTTTTGTTTAAATACATATATCGAAGGATCTATTAAATATAGATAGATATTACCATTTAAACAATAATTTTGTGTTTGCAATTTCCTTTGATTTATGTTTGATAACATTAGTCGAACTTACTGTGGACAATCGTCAGCCAAGAATAAGTTGTCGTCGACACGTGAAAGATACATCGTCGGAATTGGTTGCCAGTTCAAATCAGCATTCCATCGTTGTAGAGTATCCGTAGGCGGAAACAAAGCAGCCAGAACGAGTTGCAGGGACATCTTTGTTCTATCATAATCCGAACTGTAACCCACGACCAAGTTTGGCAGATACAAATCGCCCAGAAAGTCTTTATATCTGCAGTGCAAGACTTGTCCCAATTCATATTCATGTTTCTTGCCTTGCTATATAAATTGCGTAAATAATTGCGAAAACGGATTAATTAATTTTAAATCATATTAATATTAAAACATATTTAATTTATAATTAAAGATAATTAATTTATATGTTGATTAGTATGTTGATTTAAAATGATTTAAATCAACATATTCTACATTAAAAAGAATAGATAGAAATTTATTTTACGAAGAGTTTTATTCTTCGAAAACGGAAAAGCATTAGCATTAAAAGTATTAGCTTTATAATCTCTCCCAAAAAATTTTTAAAAATTTTGATTCTCGATTTTTAAGGCGAAAATATTTAATTTTACAGATATTGGCTTATAATATTTCCATTATAATATATTAATCCATTTCTTTTACTCGACCCCTTTTTCAGAAAATATATATATCAAAGTGAAATAAAATAAAATTATGTTACTTACATTAGTCAATTGACCGAGGCCTGTCGGAAAGAATGTATAATTTATATATGGATCAGTCGGAAACATTTCATAACCGTTATTATCAGGTGTTCGATCGCCGTGTCTGAATACCTATAAAAAAATTGAATGAAAATAATTACTTTTAATTATTTACGATCGCAAATTTAGATAATCCGGAAAAAAGAAATTGATTTAAATTTTATATAAAACGCTAAATGTGTTATTTTGTCTTAAATATAAAAAATTAACAGTAATATCTTACTACATTAACTAATTTCAGTTTAGGCTGTGTACTCGTAATCAGAATCGCGTTTAGACCGATGACTAGTGCTATCGACAAATAATTATCGAGAATGAAGAACAACACCATGTTGCTGATACCTAATCTGAAAATGTTATGCCATCAGACTTAGACTTAATCATTCGAGAATGATAAATATCGTGATAGCGATAAAACTGATAAAAACTGTTTCATATAAACAGCTGTAAAAATGTACATAAAAATTATGTTCCTTTATTCGAAATAAACGTACGAGAGATAGCATGCTTACGTAAAACATAAAATGAATTCAAGATAAAGATAAGAAGTAAGTAAGGATAAAGAGCTTAAAATGTTTTTTAATATGTTATAAGAAATAAAAGGCCTCATTTGACTGAAGAAGCATCAGTAAATGCAGAAATATCCCATATTTATGTGTACATGTAATTATAAATTATGATAAATATAACTTTCAACAAGACCTAAATTTGCTCAAATTGGCCTTCTTTATGAAACCTTTGATAAAAGCCTTTTTCTTACAATGGTGATAGGAAGTAATTTACTATTGCTTCGTATGAAAATTCACCAAAGCGTACCCCTCGATATGAATTAATTCGTCTGGTAATATTGAAAAGCTGGATCTAACATGTTCGCTATTCGATCACAAATTTGTGACGCCAGATTCTGATTTAAGGCCCGGTTTACGACAGATTCTTCTTACAGTGTATTTGTTATTGAGTATCCAAAATATAAACATACAAATATAAATTCTAAGAAATTTCTTATGCTTCGCAAAATTTATCTACGTATAAGGTTCGTGCAAAAGTTTATCCCGTTTTTTGTTTTTTATTTTTAGCAAAAAACGGGACAAACCTTTGCATCAACTCAATACATTTAAATACAAATTTGCGGCAAGATACAGATTCTATCTAGATATTAATTGTTAAACATTATATACAAGATTTAAATGTTATTTTATATATTTGTCTTTATTGTGTAATGATTAGAAACGCAAATATTTCATTTTAATATCATTTTTAACTTGCAGAAAGGCTTAATTTTTACTATTGCGAGAAAGAAAAAAACATCTTTTGTAGTTATTAAAGAATTATTATTATAACACATTTTAGTCTAGAATTAATAAAAAATAATAATATTATATAGAGGCTCTCAAGAATAAAATCAAATTTAATAAAAAAAGGGCAGTAGAGCCAAGCGCGGTAATTAGTGCGCAAAGATGTTTTATTTTCAATAAGACATAAATCAATACAATATACGGACGTTTCGGCTCCTCCTTTGAGCCATCTTCAGCGCGAAAATAAATATTACTAATATAAATGAGTTCGTAGTCGCATAGTCTTAAACAATTAAAAGTACGTAGTCGCAAATATAAAAAACATCAAAGATCTCTCACATTACAGCAACGCCGAAACGCTATCGCTTGTCTATGTCGTTAAGAGGATGATTACATTATCGATGGCTAGGCCGAAAATTAAAAACTCCAACTTGTCTATGATCAAGTCGGTACGTAATGTACCTGTAAATCGAGCAAGAAGGAATAGGTAAAATAGTAATGTGAGGGAGTCACATGAATAATGACAAAAGTGTTACTTACAAATAATCAGCGTTCCGCACACTGCGCGATAAGACAGATAAATTAAAGATAACGACTCACGGGTTTCACGTGAACACAACAAGGTAAAGTGAGAAAATAAATTTACAAAAATTAATCGCCATCAAAAATATCTTCTCAATAATTATATTTATAAATTACATTTTATCTATATTAATAACACGGGAAAACAACTTAAAATATTAGCATCAAAAAGAAGTGAAATCAAAAAATCACGCTAAGTAAATTTAGGAAAATATTATATACAAATAATAAACATATATACAAATAATAAATTATTTATATCTAAATTATTATTTATATTTATTTAATCCAAATATACTCAAACGTATATTCAAGAAAAGAAAATATAAGCCACTGTGCGCGAGTGAACGCGAGAGCGCGAGGATTGCGTGAAATGGACACGAAAGTGTTTGTAAAAAAGGCAGTCAATTTATTAAGAACAATAAATAGTTCACAAGTCTTTCTCAGATAAAATTTGTACTGATTTTAACAGCGTACTTGCGCCGGCGAGCTACCGGGCGCGCAAAGATAATCTCCACGAGCGACGGATATATCTTGAATACCGCAAGCGACGGTATAAACGGCGCGATTCCGCGAGCGACGGAATAAACGGCGCGTTTTGAGAACAAGAGATTAATAGCGAGCGACGAGAAATCTCTGCTAATTTATCGATTACTTCGCGTTTCGTAAACGAGCGTACGAACTAGAAAAGCGAGCGACTTTTCTTTTACGAGAGTTTAAACGATATAATAACACACTGTCACGGATGTAGTTCACGATCGAGTGCGTCCGGCGGTTCCCCGAGAGAGCTTTTATACAATCGTCCTTTAGCTAGTTCTAGAACTTTCGGCATGTTCGTCCCAAAAGATCGGGCCTACCGTTGTTGTTGATGATTCGGTAAAATTGAACGTTGTTATTCGCATTTATTTTGTAAATTTCGTCTCTCTCGGGTGACCGCTGCGTGGCCCGCTTCGAACGGCACGAGCGATTCCGCGGGCCTGGCGTGATTTGCGGAGCGCAGCTGGCGAAGCGCGCTCTGATTCGCGGAGAGCCGTGCGTCGCGCGAGATGTTCGACAGCGCGCCAAATTTTGAGCGTGATTAAGCTGCGATTTATTATCATGCTCGTTATAACTGACAATAATTGCTATTATATTATTACAGTTAATTTGATTTCGAACAAACACAAAAAATTAAATTTCGAAAATTAAAAAATTTAAAGTTAAAAAAATAAAAATTAAGGTTAAAAAAATAAATATAAAAAAATTTAACGCAAAAATATTTAAAGTTAAAAATAATTAAATTCAAAAAATTTTATGCGCAAAAACATGGTCGTTAAAAAAATAAGAGTAAAAAAATTTACAAGGAGCACGAAACAGAGTATGTCCTTTTCTACGTGCACCTCGGCTCCCACTCCTCAGCACTCGGTCTAGATATACAATACTATGTCTATGGTCTGCACAATGCCAACATTTTGATATGCGAAATGCTTGCATGCTATCTGCATTGCCGGTTAAGCATGATGTGTCGGCATGTACTTGCCAGATGCGGTTGCATCTGGATATTACAGTGACAGCACGGTTCGGCATGCATGCGTGCATCGTACGATCATCGTGCCAACATTTGGTTATCGGGGTATATATAAATAATAAAAATATTCTAACAGTGCTTTTTTCTATGACTGCGGTCGATAAGAGATTAGTCGATATAGATGCTGCATAATATTTTGGTGGTTGGTCAATGAGGTTAAAAAATTATTAAATTTCCTTATCATAATTGATTAATGCAGTGTTTCGGAACATCTGTAGTTTTTTCTAACCATAGCGTAGTCTCCCTGTCGAAAATGTTCGATTAAAACCGATTAAAACATAATCCGTTTTAATCGGGTTTAATCGGTTTTAATCGGTTCAATCCGCGCCCGGATTAAAAAGTAATCGATTTTAATTCCGAATGAATTATAATCGGTTTTAATATTGCTTTCGCGGATTATTTCCAATCCGAATTATTTTTGTCGTCCTCTGACAGATTCACATCGCATTAAAACCGATTTAATTATAACTTATGAAATCGTATAATTTCGGATTGAGGTGGATGTATGTCACCCAACATTAATCCGGCTGAAGCGTACTAAATTCTATTTGATTATTTTCAATCGGTTTTAATACCGTATTTTCGGTGCAGAAATCCCGATCGATTCGGATTACTTCTTTTTAATCAGTTTTAATCGAACATTTTGGGCAGGGCCATATTACCTACTGCATACATGACAGTTATCTTAATCTCGCGTGTTTTTCTCTATATTTACCCCGATAACCAAATGTTGGCACAGTGATTGTACGATGCACGCATGCATGCCGAACCGTGCTGTCACTGTAATATCCAGATGCAACCGTATCTGGCAAATACATGCCGACACATCGTGCTTAACAGGCAATGCAGACAGCATGCAAGCATTTCGCATATCAAAATGTTGGCATCGTGCAGACCATAGACATAGTATTGTATATCTAGACCGAGTGCTTTTTTGACTAAACAAAATTAATAAACTTTCGCATATAATTTTTAATAAATCAGTCATAAATAAATCATTATATATAAGTTTTAGAAATAAAGAAAAGATAATATTTATATAATAAGTTGTAAAAGTAAAGAAATAATATAAAATATTTAATCTGATAAATCATCATTATAAGGTGGATTATAATCCAGTGACTGTTCAGTTATATCCGATAGATTTCTATATTCTTCATCATCTTCTACTTGCTGCCGGGCATCGTCGGAGTTAATACACTGACCATTTCTTGTGTCAATTTTTCGCCTTTTATTTAAAATTTTTGCTCTTCTCATAAAAGTCTCTTTGGGTTCATCATCTTCTAAACATCTTGGTCGTTTTTGTTGTTGGCGAAAACGCTCTTTTGTACTTTTCAGAGCTTTTATCATCGCATCTTCAAACTCATCACGTCGTGGTTTTGGAAAATTTAAGTTACTGCTGATGGCGTCTAAAAATAACACATTTATTTATTGTCCATATTGTGAAATTTTAATTATCAGTATTAGATTATATATTACTTATTTACCTTCACAAGCATGTGCAAAGCGAGTAACTTTTAAAGCTTTTAAATGTTTTGTACCATGCCAAGTCACTTCCAATGAAATTTTCTCAACATTTTCAAAAGCACATTTGAAATAAATTGCAGCACAATCAATAGGATTTAATCCACCCAAATAAATAAAGTAATCAATCTGAAATAAAAATTTAAAGAAATATATAGATATTTTTTGTTTAACGGTTTAATTTAATTATTGGCATGCATAAACAAGCATGAATATATAAAACTTCATATATCAAAAAAGAAAAATCATGCTCAAACTCGTAACTTAACAAAAGGCTTCGTGATACACATCTATTGATTAATAAATAATTAATCTATAATTTAAAATATTTATACATATAATTTAATATTCCGCGTATGTATATGTCATAGGACGTGAAATATTAATAACAAGGTGTTCGGCATTGGCGGCGTAAACATTAGCTCTTTGTTGTTTATGTTTTATAGCTTTATTATCATTCGCGTGGCGATACTTGAATAGTACTGTAATAATGGGAGAGGCTACGTCACACATTCCTTTCAATATTTATTATATACAATATTTATTATAGTTATCATTCACGCGACGACACTCGAACAGAAAAGTAGTGATGCGAGACGCTTCGTCAAATTCCTTTTCCAAACGTGCCAACTATGGGGGAATAATTTGATATGATAAATATGATTAATTATCTTTTAAATACATTAAATCATATGTTAATTATGTCGGTGCCGTCATCGTGCCGTGGACGGCTTTCACGTCTTTCGCGTCGCGTGTCAACACAGCATTGCCACGAGTCGCACAATGGCTCATATGTGGCACGCGCATTTGTGCATCGAACATTAGTGCGTCGTCGTTGCCGCCATCGTGCCGCACGAACAACGATGCGTCGCGTTGTCGCGTTTTCGCGTTTTCGCGTCTTCGCGTTTTTGCGTCGTCGCGTCTTCGCGTTGGACTTCTATCTCGTTTTTACGATTGTCATCGAGGATCATACTTCGTTGCCGACTAAATGGGATGTCTCGATTTAGATTGAGAAAGCGCAATAA